CTTTTTTCTCTTTTTAGCTTTTTTTTAAACTAAAAAACACTTCTTTTCTTTTTTAAAAAAATTCTCTTTTTGTTTTGTATAAAATTTTCAAACTTCTTTTTTGTATTTTTGAATTTAACTAAAACACTCTTAAGAGTAATCAGCTAGATCTTCTCTTGTGTTTAGCTGTATTTTTTTTATTCTGTTTAGTCTATCTAAGATTTGGTAGAAAATGTCTTCTATTGATAATATTTTTGTTTGAACTTGTATGTCTAACTTGATCTTTTTTTTTCTTAAGATTTTATTTTATTTTTTATATATATATATTTTTTATTATTTTTATTAAGGCTATTGGTTATTAGCAGTTACTGCTTTTAGCATGATTTAATTATAATTATATAACTTGTACAAAATAAGTATACAACTAGTTACATATACAGCTTTTGGCTATTTATTTAAATAATTTGCTTACAGGTTCTATACTAGCTATTATATCTGTAATTTGCTAAAAGATTATCTAATTAAACACTCTGATTTTTGTATATCTAAGTGTTATCTAACCTAATTCTATTCTTTTTGTTTGTATATTTGTTAAGCTATTACATATTTTAGAGTATGTCACCTAACTGTAAGGCTTTAGAGAACCTTTTTGCTAACTAACTATCTATATTTAGTTCTTGTTAACAAAGCCTGCTCTTTCAAAGTTTATATAAACCTTAGTATCTACTTCATAGCATATTTCTAGTACTTATAATATATCTTGTTTTTATTATTAGACTTCTGATTTAAATAGTTCAAAAGAACTATAATTTGTTTCTGATATACTGAAATTATGATATCTAATATTCTTTTCTTTTAGTTTGAGACTTCTGGTAGTTTAATTAGTAATATTCTTCATCTAAGATTCTTGCCTGCCTGATTTTTCTATATTGGTATCTATTTCTTAAATTTAGCATTTACAGTGCTATCATCAAAAATCTGTGTTATCTCTTTATTCAAATCTTTCTAAATAGGTTTCAGTTTTTTAGTTCTATAAATTTACACAGCTATAAGAACTTATTTTAGATTTGTATTATCTATTACTGGTTTGCATTTCTCTATGTAGCCAGGTACACAGATGCTTCATAATCTGTCAGTCATATTAATATAACTATAGTTATAGGTATTTTATTTTAATTAATCAACAGAATACTATTACTATAATACTATTTATATATTACATAAGTGATTATCTAAACTTTTACTATTAATAAGTTTTGAACTCACAACCTACTATTTAGAAGATTGACAACTTATCTATTTCACTAAGTTGTCACATATTTTTTTTCTTTTTTATATTGATATTTCTGTTTTCTAATTATTTTTTTATGTATTGTATATAAAAATTATTTTTTATTCTTATATATCTTCTAATTAGTGCTTTATATTTTATGTTTCTAACTTTTGATACTTTTTGTTTTTTATTATTTGTTTTTAATTTTTTTTGTCTTCTGTTTTTTAACTTTTTTTTTTTTAAGTTTTTTTTTTTAAAGTTTTTTTAGTTTACCTAATAATTATTATATTATATTGATGTTGATTAAACTATCTCTGCTTCTTGGACATTTGCAAATATAAATATTGTAAATTTTTTTTAAATTTAATTTTTATTAAATAGTATATATACTGTTTTTGTTTTATTATTTCATAGATATTATAGTAGTAACACTTTTAAAACTTCTTTAAAATGTTTTTTTTTAAAAAAAATTTTCTACTATCTGGTCACTAGTAGGCTACAGTTGGCAGCTATTTTATTAGTTCGAATTTTTCGAGTTTACAGAACCTTCTATCAGAACTCTGCCTATATTTTACATTTTTATTTATGTATATTTACAGTACTATCTATATATTGATTTTGTATTTCTATTATTCTAGAATTTTACTAGAATTATTCCTAATTAGAGATTTCTTTGTTCTATTATTATTCTCAATCTCTTAATTATCACAGTCTTCTTATATCAGATCCATCATTATTTAAGAATCTGGGTACTGAAGATCTTACTATTTTCATAGTATGTCATCAGATGTGGTTAATCAACAATCATGGTTCAACTTAGTTTTTATTTTCCATTAGATTTGAACTAGCAACCTTGTGATTGATGACCTGAAAGTGTAATCACTTCACTATTAACCTGCAGGTTATTTAAGAATATTAAATAATTTGTTATATAATAATTCTATTTTCTTTTTGCATATATTTTTTATTATCTTTGCTAACTTGTTATTACCAAGTAGTAATACCTATAAGCTGTTTTTTTCTTTCAAAAAGATTGTTTTTATTATTGTTAAAGCTTTATATTATAATTTTTTAATTTATATTATATGCATATTCACATATATACTTAAGTTTTCTTATTAGTATTTAATAATAAATCTTAGATTGTCAGATATCTTAATATTTTTAGTTTTTAGTTTTTTCTACTTATAAGCTTTCAGTCTGTCTTGTTTTTGTTTTATTTCTTAGTTCTGTTTAATATGCATTTTTTTATTCAAACTCTTTTTGTTTTATGTTTTTTTTTTTTTTAATTTTCTTTTATTATTTATTATTATTTTATATTTTTTTGCTATATTTTCTGTTTTTTTTATCTTTTACTTGATTTTGCATCTTATTTAAGATTGTTTTAAACCAACTTTCACCCTTCTAGTTTAGTTAGTTAATTACTTCTTTTTTTTTTTTATAACTAAATAATATTTTAATCTAATTATTATCTCTTATAAAAACTTTTTTTATCTTTATTTATATCTATTTATATTAAGCATTTATTTTATTATATTAGTTCTTTATTCTTTTGTTTTATCTAAAACAGTATAAGCAAAAATTTTTACAATTGCTAGTATTTTATTATTATATAGTTTATGAGATAATACCTAAATGTTTTGTTATAATAGTATTTTTGTTGTATCTTCTTATAGTATTGTTACTTCTTTTTTATATATATATTTTTTTATTTATTTTAAACTTAAATTTGGTTATAAAGATTTTTATTTTTTTGTTTTTCTGTATTTTGCTATATTTCATAGTTTTTTATCTGTAGTTGTTTTTTTCTTATCTGTTTTACATACTTTATATTCTTCTTTAATTTTTTCTTTTTTCCTATTGCTTTTTGTCTTAGTTATTTTTTTAATTTTATTTATATTTTTTGTTTTATTTTTTTTTTTATTATTGTATATTTTTTTTATCTTAAAACAAAAGTTTTTTAATTTATTTTCTTTATAACTTTTGCAATAATATTGTTTAGTATTCTTATTGCTACTATATCTGCTATATTTATTACAAAAAGTAGTACTATATATTTATCTGTTTTTGTTTTTATAATATCTATTATTTCTAGTATTTTAACTAGCTTAATATTTTCAACATTCTATAATCTCTGTGTTAGGCTTAAATATTACTTCTTAGTATATTTCTGTGTTTTTTTTACATTTTACTTCTTGATAATTTTTGGTTAAAGAATCTGTAAAAGAGAGTTATTATTAATATTTATAATAGTTATTGAATTGCAAATTTATTGTTACTATTACATAAAACATTACTACTTTGTATAATAATAAATTTGTAGATCTTTGTATTTTCTTTTTTAACTTTAAATATTTTGAAATTTACTAAGGCAATTTTGATAATTTAATTATTATTAAAATTAGAAAAGCTTTTTTACAACTTTTGTTAAAACTAAAAGAAAGTTTTATTTAGTAAAACTTTCTTTAATTTTTAAAAAACTATTTTATTCAATTATATTATTAAATAGAATAAATCAAATTATTTGACTTAAAGAATATAGTAAAGAATTGACCAACTTTGATGAAAGATTTTCAACCCTCTGTTTAAAATTAAGAACTAAACTTTAAACAAAAGAATATAAAATGCTAAAAGAATATATATTTAAAATTTAAAGAAAGATTTATATAAATATTTTTAAATAAATTTTTTTTGATTTTTTGGCATAAATTTACACATAGAATTAAGTTGTTAATTTATTTGATTTATAAGTAACTACATTCTAAACCCTTATATGTGGACATGTCCTATAATTGTTAATAATCATTAATTCAACTATTACTGACCCCTCCAATTATCAGATCTATGCTCATACCAGAGACCTGCGAATCCGTTAATGGGTTTTAAAATTGGTAAAATGAAACAGATCCGGTCATGCGATTGATGTCAATGACTCCGACAATGAAATTATGTAACACTTTACAATACTAATGTACAGGGTAACTGCATAACGATAAAATAAATTGGAAAACGAATTTAAAGATTCGGTTTTAAAGTTGTATAAAGTTGTATAATGTAAGACTAAGATTTGTTATTTATACATTCTATGCTTAACTAGTGTTATAAGAGCAAAAACAAACCGGTAACATTATCTAATTATGTTCTCTCTTCACATAATAAATATGATTTGCTATATGCTATTTCCTTCTGACTACAACTTTGACGTAACATAGAAACTCAGCATTAATTTTATAATTATATCGAATCTGGGGCTATGTTTAAGGGAAACGAAATAAAATTAATCTTTTAAAACAGTTGTGTACAAAGTCTTATACGGGCTGTTAAATGTTAATTATCATTGATGAACTTCTCTAATTTGAATTTTTTTGATTTTTTATTAGTGAAACGTTACATTGCCAAAAAGTACATTATAAACAAGTTACCCTGCATCAAGCTTCTATTATAACTATAAAAAAATTGCGTAACGCTGTTCCTTTTAATAGAAATAAAAAATAAATTTCCCACACTCTAACTGTAAACAGGTAAATATATCACCACGCGTCTTACAGTCAATTGTTTTGAACCAACAGAACTCAAAATTGTAATATAACAGATTGATCGCTGTCTTCAACCTTTTAAGTCTTTTCAGTATTGTAACCAGTGTGGATACGTGTATATGTGTGATTTCGTGCAATAAATTCGCTTGTAAACGTTGATGTAATATATCGATGATAAGATTAATATTAACCTTAAATACTATTCGTTTAGGATGTATCCTGACAAAAATTCGAACGCTGTAGCGATTATGAATGCATTAATTACGCCGATTACATATGGCATAAGAATGCAGGACAATATCCCCGTGAAAATGTTCATGTCAATCTGTCATCATTTGCCACCAAGCGATCTTCTTATGATGGCATGCGTATGCAAAGATTTCAAGAATATACTAGATGAACGTATTAATCCATTGGCAGGCGAAATCTGGAGAAATTCTAGAAACCAGTTTACAAATTTTAAAAATAGGGATCCTCCGGCAGGAATGAACCAACAAACTTTTGCAAGGCTATTAACATTTACAAATGGCTGTCAATTTTGTAAGGACAAGAACGATATGCTTATAGTATATTGGATTCCTGGTGTTCGCTCTTGCAAAAATTGTATGCTTAAAAGAACATTCAGGTAAATTTATTTATTGTTATAACCAGAAACAATAATAAATTTACTAATTATATTTTATTTTATAGTTCTTCTGCATTCAGAAATAATTTTAAACTTGATGATGAAATTCTCGGACTTATCGCACCTATAACACCAAACATTAATTCACCAGAAATTCTAGATGGACCAAAACATTATTGGATAAGTCATGTGAAGAATGCAGTCGCGTTTTTTATGGAGGCAGATGATAATGTTCGGCTTATGTTGAATCAGCTAAGAAAAGATGTTGAAGACACTCGTAAAGAATCCCAAAATTATCATCAGTGGACGAGCAATGTATTAAATATCGAAAGACTGTTCAATCACCGTAACTAAAGAGTACAATACTAGACAGGAAAGTTATCCACTTTTCTATTAATAAAATTTAAATTCATTGACTTTTTTAAAAAACAAAACAAGCTGTGATAAAGATATTCTGTCAAAGGATTGAAAATGTTATAATAAATTTATGAATTTGGAGTTTAAGGGAATAGCTTATCAAGATTTTGAGGTCCTAAAACTCATCTATAACGAGTATTATTGCTTCTGTGTACCAAACACATATATGTTACGGGTCAAGTTAACCCAACTTGGCCCGTAACATATATAAATTATGTTACAGTAAAATCAAAATTATATGTTATGCCCCGAATTTTATTTGTTCTAATTGTCAATCTGATATAAACTATCAAAATAAATAAATTAATTTAGGCTGAATATTTGGGCAAATTAACGTCTGGGCCGTTATATACATAGGAGATGTTCGTATAATTGGCTAATAATTATAGTATATATTAGATATATATTTATTATATACATATCAATATTGATGAAAACAATCAGTAAATATATATATGGTATATAATTTTTACGGTTGCGAAATATTATTAGAGTATTTTTTAAATTATATATATAGATATATTCTTTGATTTTGGCAGGTTTATTATTATTCTTTATTAAGATATTATGTTTTCATATAAACACTTTTAAAACTTAATGTATTAAGCAGACATCTTGTAGTTACTTTTATGAACATCTATAAGCAATCTGCCTGCATTAGTTGCCTAATTACCTAAGAAAAAAAAAGAAATCTAAAAATATATTCAAACATTATCTTACAATAGAATATCATCAATTTGATAATATTTTTTTATAAAGTGAAAGAAAACAAAAAAAATTTATAAAAAAAAAATACAGAGATATTAAAAAATACAAAATAAGAAATAAAAGAAAAAAAGAAAAAAAAATAAATCTATATTGCTAATAATCTCATTTAGAAAATAAATATTGCAGACTATTTTAGTAATTTTACATATTAATTTTTAGAAAGAGATAACTAAATTATTTATTATTTACAAAAATTTTTTTTAAAAAACAAATCAATTTAATAAGTAACCCAATTTTATAGTTTTTATAAGTTTTTGGTCCTTATAGATATTCTTTCTATAAGAGGTGTAATAATCTAGTAAAGTAGACAGATTGTTAATATTCAAGTAACAGATCTAGAGTTTAAATCTAATAAATAATGAATTTTAGAAATTATATCTGTATTATGGTAACTGACTCTGTTGATTAGTTGGATTGATGTATTTGTAATTTTTAATTGCATTATCTCAAATAAGAGCTTAAAACATTTATATGAAATATAATATTACACTTATATAGAGAAATGTTAATAATTAGTGTTGTATAAGACTTTGATACAAACCTATAATAAAATTACTAAGTACAGAAAGTAAAGAAACTGAAGAGTCAAAAACCTATTTGAAAATCCTAAATAAGAAAATAATATGAGCTTTTAATAGTGTTATTAGACTAATAAAAGTCTATAAAACACTTCTAAAAGAATAAGTAAATAAACCAGATATTAAGATATATATAACCAACTAGGCTGTCAAAATTATCAGAGAAAAAAGATATCAAGATATATTATATCAAACTATTTAGATTGAAAGTCTGAAGAGTTTTGTTAATTTTGATAGTAGTTAGTAAAAGATAATAGAAAGACATTAAAAAAATAAGTATTAGAGTTTTGAATAAATCTTATAAGAGTATAATAGTTTAATAATTAGCTCTAACTGCAAGTGATAGTTTAGTTTAAAATGATATCAGGTTAGCTATAAGTATAAGATATAGAAGGTTTTGATAGGTTTTAGTACAAAGTTAAATATGATTTAGTAATTATGGCATATCTTTACTGGTTTACTGAAGTTATTAGTAAAATAGAATAAATATAGAATTTAGAGTATTTAAATAGAAGATCTACAAATAAGTTCTAGATATAGCAATTATATCACCAAATTTTTAAATTATAATAATTTTAAAAAAATTATATTTAATATAAAATATTGTAAAAGAATTTAATAAATTTTATCAATCTCCCTTCTCAATCTGGCACTGTGCTTATTACTCACTGGCAATGTCAAATTGAATCACAATTTACCTGCTTATACCCACTTGCACCTATTCAATCAAAGGCATGTCCTGGTTGTTCTCTTAACTCACATACAATCAATAACAAATGTACAAT